GGGGACCAAACTTTCGCTCAGCCCTTCGCCTTCACCTGCAGTCCCACGTGACTCTAGGTGTTTGCTACATTTGTACACTTTTCAGCCTGTGACCTTCGCACGGTACAGATACGAAGGGTGATTCGGGTGGAGATATTTTAACTGTAACCCCAAAGTAGAGCCACAGACTACTGCACTGTGTGTGGCATGCCACTCTCACTCGTTTATAAAATCGGCAGTCCTTAGGTCAAGTTCGTTTCGTCGTTGGAGTACTCACCTGCTCTGGAGCGGATGAGGTTCTCGAAGTACTGCGCGGCGAACCAGTAGATGTCGGCGGGCTGGTGACGCAGCACCTCTCTGGTCAGGCCCTGGAGCGCCGCGTCCATGCCGGCAGGTACGGAGAGCTTCACGAACACGCTGGTCGAGGAATACGAGAAAAGGACAAGAAACACATTATTAATTTTATGAGACGATTAAGACAATAAAGAAAACTGCAGCATTTGGAGCTTTATAGAACCAAAGTAACAAATTCAACTAAGAGGTCCTCGCTCATCCCATAATTGAAAACCCGTCGAACTGTTACTGTTGCAGAAAGGGAAGTCAGTGCTAACAGTCGGGTCGGGGCACGACAAGGCCACCACTCACCCTTCGGCTGTGAAGCCCGCCACCTTGGTTGCTGTCTTCATGTTTGCGACGCGCTGCAGAGGACCTACACCAGAGCTCCGCCACGGTAGGCAAAGCGATAAACACTAACTCTCGGGCTAGAACGTCGCGGTGCTCGGGACACGCGCCCGGCGTCGACCGCACGGAGAGACAGACGGACAGACGGATGGCCGGACGGCCGGGGGTGGTGGACACGGCGGCCGCGGGGTATCGCAAGGACGGGGCGCTGCAGCCCCTGCCGAGCCTCGGCCCGACCAGACTCGACGGCCTCCGCGGCGCACCGGAGCGAGGCAGCCGGAGGCAGCCAGAGGGCGCGAGGCACCGGCGAGTATCGACCAAACGGCGGGGTGGCCTCCAGGGCGGCCCGCCTCAGACGAACTAACAGCACCCGAATTCTTACGGGAAGGGGTGTTAGGTTTAATGAAGGGAAGTAGCAGGCGATCTTACAAAGCACCGAAGTCCTCTCGATCTCCAGTGCTGCTCATGAGTTTCAAATGGGGTCACATGACGGAAGGGATCAGGGCTAGCCGAAGGACTTCTTTTCCCCTGGAAGATGAAAGTCGTTGTCATTTAGAGGCAATGGGGATATTGAGCATACATTCTAGACCAATACATTATTCAGAAATCAGCAAGGAGTTGCAATAACTTATTGGTCAACTGTGTACCAGAGAATCAAAATGGAAATTGACTGAATCGACAATGTAAGAGCCTGCACCACTCAGTCTCGGTTAGATTAAATCTCACCATAACTTAAAATAGCTGTTCAACAGTTTTATTTTTGAAGTTTTTTTCTTTTAAAA